TTGCCCCTAAGGCCCTTCCTGATGGCCCTCTGGAGTTCCTCCGGCTGGACGTCGAGGGAGTCGTCCCAGTCGGGGGAATCTTCCCCCGGCTCGGAGGGTGGTCCCTCGTCCTCCCCGGTAATATCGGGGAAGAGGGTCTGCACCACCCTCCGGACGAATCCCACGTCCAGCCGCTCCGTCAGCGGGGGCGCCCATGGTCTCAACTTATTGAGAACCATCTTGTATGGCCGCCCCCACGGATCCTCCTGAAGGGAGTCGAGGAACTCCGTCCACGCCCTGCCCTTTGCCACTCTGATGGCCCGTTTGAGGGCTACCTTGGCCTCAAGGTAGCCCTCTCTCGCTTGTTCGGCCGCCTGTCCGCCTCTGCGCCTGCAGCGGGCGAATCTCCTCTGCTGGTGGACGGCTCGTCGACGCAAGTCGGCGATCTTTGCCGTCCACCAGTAGACGGCCCGCTGAGGCCGAGCTTTGGACCGGGGCATCGCAGCGTTACAAGCCGCTGTTAATGCTGCCCCGATCCACTCGGCCTCTTGCAGGGGGTCCGTCTCCCGGGTCTCGGGGAAACCTCCCCGGACCCAACAGGCGGCCTCAATCGAGGCCATAGGTCGTCCTCGCGGAGTTTCCGGAGGGCCCATCGCGGTCGCGTCTCCTCTTGGCGACGCACGGGGGAGAGGACACCGAGCTCCACCGTTATATAACGGTGATCAGACAGAGTCTCGATGTCCCGCTCCACCCTCCACCCGGTTATCAGGCGCGCGGCCGAGGGGGTAGCCCATGTGAGATCCACAATGGACTCCCCCTACGTCCGCACACAGGTTGAGGTCCGGCCCTCGTTCACTAGGACCAGCCCGTGCGCCGCCGCCCACTCGTCTAGAGCCCTGCCCCTCGCGTTGTCGCGCCGGGAACCCCAACTCGTGTGTCACGCGTTGAAGTCCCCGGCCACGAGGACCGGCCTCGGACTCAGACGTAGGACCGTCTGTCCCAGGTCCGATAGCCAGCCCTTAAACGGGGCAAGGCGTCTGGTGGGCCTCAAATAAACCCCCACGTCTGCGATGGGCCCCCACTGCACAGCTACGTGCCGTTGCCCACTTTCGATGGGGGTCGTGCTGGGCCCTCCCGGCACCGACCGCCATCGGATCGCGACCGAGTCCCCCGCCTGCCCAACAGCCCGATATGGGCTGCTTCTTGGGGGGCGGTGGGGCTCGGCCACGATCGCCAACGTGAACCCCCTCTCCACCATGCTCTGTTGT